TTTCTACAATCTCTTGCATATTAACAAAAAGTTTCTCATAAATGTATGTACTCCTCTTTTCATCGGACAACACTTACAATATTTATTTATCGTTTGAGAGTCTTCTCACAAAACCATATAAATACAATTTGATTCTTTTAACCCAAAAGGCCATATGATTATAATGTACAAGTTCCAGTATAAAGTTACGATTGTTTCTATGGTATAAATTCTGGATTATAATATTAGAATCACCCAAACAGATTAAGTATGTTTAAAAATCATGGAATATGTTTTTAAAAAATTAAATATTGAAAAGATTCATTAAATTCATAAAACATTATTTCATTAATAATAAAGAAATAGTTTAATTTTATTTTAACGATTTTAATAATAAAGTAATCAATAATTTAATGTCCAAAAATTTAAAGAAGGATTATTTATTATTACTGAATCCCTTTGTTTTCAATAAAATTCTTTTCTCCATTGACCATTAAAAAGGTTAAAATAAAACCGATATTGATTGTGCATGTTGCAAAAATGGAAGATTCTTTAAAAAATTTTGTAGTTATAATTAATTGTTAAAGTTTGCTCATTTAGATCTCTACGCAGAGGTCTCACTTACTTTTGTGCTTATTTGTTTATTTCTTTTTCCTTTTTGTTTTCTTGCAGTTCTTTTTTATTGGTTCTTAGTGGTTCCCTCGTTTGTCCTTTTTTTTCGTTTTATTCAAAGACTTATTGTTGTCTGGCGTACGAAGATCAACGGTGTCACTTTTTATTTCGAGTTATTTTTATGTATTAATTGGTAATCAGTGATAATATACACAACAGCCAACGCTATTTGTTTTCTAAGCAAATTAAAAAATTCAAATCAATAATATTAATTAATTATTCCATAGATAAATATAATAAGATTAATATACATAAATCTTTCTATTAACTAGGAATTAGACTTAGTAACATAAAACATAAAATTGAATGTTAAAGAAAATGTTTCAAATCATGTTAAAGTAAATACTACATAAAATAATTTCGATATAAAATTATGTTTGCAATCTAAAAAAAAATTATAATTATAATTGCAAATTTATGCCGAAAGATAGACGCAAGATCATACACATTTACCGCGATCAAAGCCCGCCACTCATAATTGTGATGTATTCACCGCGATAGATTCGTGCAACAACCAATATGATTGCAATATAGCTATAGGCGATTGTTGATACAACAATCAATGTTCGATTTAATATTAAAAATCGCGATGTGCCTCGCTGAAAATATTTCACTCGGCTTGGTCGTTTTTCCGGCGGGATTTAACCTTGTAAATCTTTACAATTTCATTTTCTGACATCTATCTTTCTCTCATTGGCTGCTGTTTCGTTTTCTTTTTTATCGAGGTGCATTTGTGTATTTCTTACGTTCTTCGTCTATTAATCCAACTACTATCCCCAACAGTTAACCCTTTAACTTATATTCAACTTAAAAAAGTGAAACAAATTAAATTTTGTAATATTTTGTTTGGAATCTTTGTTAATATTTTAAATGTTTTCATAATATTCAATTAAATCGATTTTAATTATTAATATTTCGTGAAGTTTATTGGTCAATTTAATGCTTAATATTTATACTCAGTTTCAAAATTTCAAAAATCTGTATATAAATAGAATTAAAGATTAGAATTAAAATTATTTAAATAAATTTACGATGTCAAAAAGTACCTAATATATTAAATAATAAGAACTATCGTAGCCTATATTATTATAATAAAATACATAAAATATTATATTCGAGATTTTCAATCGCTTTTTTTTAGATCCCTGAATTTCATAATATCCAATTAAATATTGATTTTTAATCTTTGATTCTAAGATATTTAAATTTTATATAACTTTAGAATATGCAATTATCTATAATTAATTTATATTTTTATATGTTTTAAGATCTATTTATTTATTATATAATACTGTGTAAAGAAAGATAATAAACGGAAAAATTAAATCATTTTTACAGTATTTAAGAATTTTTTAACATTTAAGTCTAATAAAAGAATCTCTTAATTTTCTAAATAATTTTCATATTTCTTTAATTTTACATTAATAAAGTTTCCAGATTTTAACTATCTTATCGAAGATTTCAGTGTTTAATACTAAATATCACTAAAATTTTAGTCGATCAATTTTACTATGTTATATTAATAATATAATACTGTGTCAATAATATGACGGTAATAAATGTTCATAGTAAATTAAATAAAATGAAAAAGAAACGAATAGAAACATATAAAAAAATAATAAATCAAAAAAATAACTAAAGAAGAAAATAATACAAATAAAATCAAAATATAAAGAATATATGCGCTTTCTGTACATACAAAGAATCTAGTATCGATTTTTATATTCTTCCACAAAATCACAAAGTAGGTATACATATCTCACACGGATCATGATTTTATCATATTTGATAAAACTAAACGTCTACCATTTGAAAAATTTTTTCTTCTTTTAGTATTGCAAAAATTTTGGTATGTGTTGTCAATATCGATTATCTCCAATCTAAAAACAGTTGTTAAAAGTTGAAACAATTAAGTTTCCTATTATTAGTTTGATAAAGAAATTTATTAACAAGTAATGAGATAAAAAGAGACATTCCATTTAAACTTTTTATAAATTATCCTTGCATTTCAACGATATATTTTCCGGCTATTTTGCGTACTTTATATAGGAGTAAAAGTTAAAGGGTTAACCGACACATATCTTACAACGGATCACTTTCCACAATACATATGCTCATCAAAAACGTTTGTCTTCAACTTACAAATTAGTCGGTCTTCAGAGATCATCCGTTTATATTTGGTAATCAGTCTATTCATTAAACTATCGCTCAATGCCAATTTTACAAAAGGACCTATTCGTTTTTGTCCTTTAAGTCAAGAACGTTTCTGATTTTCGAGTTTTGTTACAGTTTTGAATTAGAAATTGAAACCAGTATAATTTCGTTAAGCTCAATCTCTCATAATATTTGTATATATTATATTTAGACTGAAATAGTATAACATTTTCCAACAATTTACATTTTTTTACCATATCTTAAGTAACATTTTTTAACATAAAAAAGATAAGAAAAATTATTTTCAAAAACATCTTGCCAAAACTAAGAAAATGCACCATAAAATTTTACATTTCACAGAATGACATATTTTAGCATCAAAATGCGAACTCAGCGAAATTGTATCGGTTTCAATTCACAATCTAATTGTTCGCTTCATAGATCATTCACGAATGATCTAGGAATAGTCCAAAATCGTGAAAAGAAAAACGCGTCACATAAAAAGATGATAACAGCCCCGAGAACATCCAATGAGGGATTTGTGGAATTTGTACTCTTCGAATGTGTGTGTAATGTATTAGAGTGTCCCCTATTTCTTCAATTCTTCTCTTTAACTATTCTATTGCACATTCGGCAGCCTATTATTTCTTTTATAACAAGTGACTTTTTAGAAAAGTCTTTTATATTTTAAAATTTCTTCTTCTTGACTTTTATCGCATATTCATAATTTGCATTTCTTTAATGTTTATTTTTTAGTTTGTTTGTAACAAACAAATTTATTGTTTTTAATAAGTTTTCTTGAAGAGAGAAGTCACTTAGAACTTTTTGTTTATTTCTATATACATAAATATGGGACACTCTATATATTTATGTGTGTATATATATTGTATATATATATATATATATATATATATTTATTTATAATGAAACGTCACTTATGCCATAATATAATTATCAGTTTACTTTTTTTGCTTTTTATACTTTGTTTTTTATACTTTTTGCTTGCTCACTTAATTAGAATCATAATTACTTAACTATCGGTGTACATATGCGTGTGTATATCTGTTCTTTTGTGTTCTGTGTAAATTTGCGCTGTTATCTATTAATTAATCGCAATTCATTATTCATCAAGAAATTAGCCGTTTGTCTATCTTTGTCCGTCTTTTTCATTCTCTAAACATTCTTCCTTCTCATATTTCTTTATGTTACGCGGTAATGAGTTTTATGAAGATTTAATTTCTTTTGCGAATATGATGACGGCGCGGGGTTTGTTTATTTAATAAGTTTATTTCATAAGTTTATTTGTTTGTTTACTGTTTGTATAATTATGTAAATAACATTTGATAAAAGTAATTCGCGATTTAGTATCAGAAATGATTTTGTATGTTATCGAAATAATTTATACAATCTTTTTAAGTAATTCTAATTTTTATACATAATTTTATACTATAAAAATAATTTCATATTTTATAATCTTAACATATTTAAATTCCAAATATTGCATATAATCTTTAAGTTTTGAATTAAATAAACAATTTTATGAATAAATTTATAAAATATCTTTATTATAATTTATTTTATATATTACAAATTACTTTAATAATTTCATCATTTTAAACTAGACGGATTGCTCCGGATAAATACTTCCGAATTTCTTGATTGACTAATTTTATAATTTTATAATCTTTATAAGATAAATTTTTGTTGGTTATATTTTTGATATAACTATAAATTTGTCTTAGAAATTCACTCTTCACAAAATAATTTTAAACTAATTTAATTTTTTAAAATATTATTAATTTCTAAAAATAAATTTTTATTTTTAAATTCTATTTTATCCTATTTCTCTCTATTCAATCTTTTCTGTAAAAACTAAAATTTATTTTAAATTTTACTTAATGAAATTGATTAAAAAATTAGGAATTATTTATGAATAAATTTGTGTATTAAAATAATAAAATTAATTAACAAATCAAATCTTTTTAAACAAATTTCTAAGAATAATTTTATAGTTTTATCAGTTAATATAAAGCTAAACCAAAAAGGCGCGTATTTGAATAGTAGATTCTCAAAATGGTCAATTACTGTCTCATTTTATTTATTTTAAGAATTTAGGATTAAATCTGCAACGAAGAATTTCATCATAGCTTCTGCTTAACGTTACCATAACTTCCATTTTTCATTTAGCTTTTTTGCTTCTCTCTCTCTCTCTCTCCTCTCTCTCTCTCTCTCTCTCTCTCTCCCCCCTTTCGCTCTTTCCTCTTGCAGCACATCCACTCTGTCTTAATAAATCTGTATGTTCTTAAAAATATGTACAATGCTGCTATAATTTCGTCAGTTGTCGATAATTTACAATAATCTTCTTTTTCACACTCTTCTAGTTGTTCCTAACAACTTAATAATGCTACCTTTTTTTCTTTCCATTTCCTTTCTGCTCATTTTTTTTCTTATTTTTCATGCTTCCATTCCTTTTTCAACGACATCAATTTTCTGAAAAGTGGCTTGTTTTTTGTTCGTTAAATTTTCCCAATTTTTTTCTTTTCTTACTTTCCTCATTTCCTCTTAACTCTCTACCTTTATCTCAAATTATTTGCCTTCTTGTCTAGATTGACTTTTTTTCTTTTATTTCGTTTCTTTCATCTTTCTTTCTCCTCGTTGTTTTTCTTTTATTTTCTTTTAAATGCATAATATACCAGACTTCACTGCAATTTCGGAAAATGTAAAATCTTCCATTTGCGTTTACAGTTTTTTGAAAGCGATTGGTTTATTTTCTTATTGATTTCTCTGATCAATATTTCCAAATGTTGTTCTTCTTAGCTGATAATATTTATATTTTATACATCCTTTTGTTTTAATCCGTTCCTAAACTGTTCTTCATTTTCATATAATAAACTTAGAATGGACCATTTCTTCTGTCTTTATTTTTTCGTTAGTCTCTTCTTTCTTCAAGTTATTTATCTCTTCTTCGCAATATTCAACGAAAGTATTGAAGACTTCTTCTCTTCTTTGTAATAGGCTAGATGATATCAAAGATAACTTCGTTTCTTCTATTTTCTTCTTTTTGCATCACGATTGATGTTTTTTGAGCCTTAGTAATCCAAGTACCCCTTTCATATCTAATTTTTTAAACCTATTCCATTGTTTGAAAATCTTCGCAAGTCGAGTGATATCCAAAAGACTTCTTCTTCTTCTTCTTCTTTTTCTTCTTCTTCTTCTTCTTCTTCTTCTTCTTCTTCTTCTTCAACGTTGCTTTGCCAGTCAGGCCATTTTGGAAGGACAAAGTTGCATTGAGGAGGAATTTAAATGTGCATTTTATGTGTACATATGTAACGTGTGTATGAGTCGATATTTCACGCGCCGTCAATTTTCGTACGCCCTTCTTCCTTTCGCTCTATCTCCTATCCCCTATCCTTTTCCCTTTTCCTTCTTCAATCGTTTCTTCTTTCGCCGCCATCGCATCGCACCGTCTCTTTGTCTGCAAATAGCGCAGAGGAAGCAATGTAAGAATTTATTTGCCAACATCCACCACCCGTGTCTTTCTCGTCTCTTGTCATCCTATCTTCCGCTTTTTATTCACCTTTGGTGATTTACGTCCGTTACACTGGTAACGGACTAAATACGGATTTCCGTGTTTTATTCATCATAGAACGCGATCAACTATAGCTAACTCTCTGTTTTTATCCAATTAAGTTTGTAAACAAAATTTATTTTAATTCGGACACTCGACTTACTCATCTAAATTAATGCAATCTCCCTCAAAAGAAAATTTCCCTGCGCTTTTATTCCAAATAGCGAACTCGATTGTCTACACTATTCTGCACTGATGCACTCTAAAGACATGCACCAGCACAGAATGCAAGCAACCGAATTCACTGTAAATTAATTGATCTATATACGTACCTAAAGATTGTCCATCATCTCGGAAAGAGTCAGTCTGGAGGTGGACATCGCGACACCGCTGTCGCTACTACTCTGTACGCTACTATGATCATCGGTGTCCGATTGATTGCTCGTGTAACCAATTACGTCCACTTCATCTGCAACAAAAAAAATGGATTCCGCATTGTTATAATCTGGAAGAGAAGTCGATAACAAAATAATTTTTTATTTACGCATCTAATACAACGAACAAATATAAGTCACATGTACCATCAAAATCGAAAATCGATTTTAGCTCCAAGAGAAATTAATCTCTTTTTGCTTATAATGATTAATACGTAATAGACAAGAACTGCCACGAAAAATTAGTGGAAATTTATGCACCGGTATTTACTATATACTATTACGGCACGCAGCTGGTTGCGCATCTTCAAGATGGCAGCCAGCTTAACATTTATCACGAGAGATTAATTAATAGCAGCGAGAAGATCGCCCTCCTCTGGAGAAGTTCTACCTTCTCTCCACCTTTCCAGTTAAATTCTAAGCGTTTCTACCGTATTTAACATCCATTCATAAATCTGTCAAAGTTGCTTCGTTTTCAAGCGATTAATCGGATTTTTTAATTCCATGCTAATTTTTACTCAAAGAAGTATCTAAAAAATCCGAGAGGACTCAAAGAAAATGCAATCGATTAGAAGCATAAGCCGGCCATTCTAAGCTAAACTTACAACGAATTCGGTTGAACGCATCAGTGCGCACTGGTGTATATTAAAGCGTCGTACACTGATTAATTTAAAATGCAAAAATGAAATGCAAATATTTCGAATTATAAAATACATATTTACTTAATAGTACAATAAAATTTATTGAGGATTTCACCTGTTTAATCTGTTTTTATATTTATATTAAACACACGCCTTTACGTCAATTTGTGCACGGCGATTTTGATATGCACCAGTGCGCACTGAGTGCATCCAATTGAATTTGCTATTATTCTATTGGTTGTAAACATGACAATTTTTTTAGTGGCGTACTAAAGGCCCGTCTACAATACACGGAGTAAGAAGTAAGAGTAAGAAATTGACCAATCACAGTCGAATGTGAGAAGAATAATCGACTGTGATTGATCAATTTCTTACTCTTACTTCTTACTCCGTGTATTGTAGACGGGCCTTAAAAGCTCAACACGAGCGAGTCATAAGTATATAAAGCATTTTAAATAGTATCGTTTTAAATAGTATCATTCTCCCCGTATCGAAAGCGTTCCCGTGACGTAAGGAGATGCACCGACGCATCAACTGCACGCACCGTCTAGCTAATACTCGCGAGAGACGAGTGCCAGCAAGGACGCGCCGTTATTATGACGTCATACAGTCAGACGAAGAGATGATGAGCAACAACGGGTGAAGGAAGGAGTAAAGAGAAGAGAGGGTAAACGAAGGAACATGATAGAGAGACTGCAGAGTGTACAGTAGCCATGACACCCGCTGGAAGGCACGGCTCAAAGAAGACGAGGGAGGTGTCGACCACACTTGCTAGCTACCCTCTCCCTCACTATCCGCGGCGCTCTGAGCCGGGGGTATTTTTCCATAATCAATAACATGCCTCTATTCTCGTCACACTAAGCGAACCAGATCTGCCCTCGTCACCACCCGCCTCTCTCTCTTTCTCACCCCTCTATCTTTTACGTCCTCGACATCGCTAACCTGTCCAGGTGACAGTGGCGCTCAAAACACAAGTGGAAAGTATACAGACCACAAACAGAATGACAAATAAAACCACGTCCAGATTAGAGTATAAAATATCAAATAAATTTTTTTAATCTATTAAATATACAATAAAATTTCAAATTTAAGATTTAGACGTGAAATAAGATAAGGTATACTAGAAGAATGTATATATACTATGAGAAATTGTTTTTCTTAATTAGTCGTGGATATTGATTGTCGGAAGTGGGTGATACAGAGTGGCGCGATTTGAGAGGCACTGATTAAAGCGGCGGTTTTAAGAGTGCCACGAGTGACGAGCAAAAGAGTTCATTAAAACCAGCGTCATGCGCACCTCTGGTATCACCGAATTCGTCACCTCCTCTCCCTTCCCTCCTCATTTCACGGCATGGAACATAAAAACACGCGAGACATTCGATGCATTCAACCATTTCTCCCTGATACAGGGATAAATTTTAATATTCCGAGTGAAGCGAATAAAAATAAGTCGCGCGTCACGTTTTCTTTCTAGTTAATCATTTCTCCACTGAAAAAAAAATTGGTTATTCGGACAAAATGTTTATGGTTGGTTTATCTAATGGTTGATTCAACCATTATTTAGTTGCACTTGCGAATATATAGTTCATTTATGTCAACCATCTAAGTTGAAATGACTAAATCGACTCAACTAAATTATTTTGATAGAAGTACCAGTAGAATTTATTTTATTTTGCGTGGCATTTTTAGTTACTTTCCGTAATATATATTTATTTAATTTCGAAATACCGAATTAACTAAACAATGTCGAGAGAATCGATAAATATTGTGTATTTTCAACCAAACGGTGAAGTTAGATATGACAAAGTTTTTGTTAAAATAAACAACAGATTTCGTCAATTTTTAATTTTTAAAAGTAACAAAAAGTTATGTTCATCTTCCAAAACTTTTTGATGGATGAACCAAATGTAATTCAAAATTAACTAAATCAATTATTTATTACAATTTCTAGGTTAAATAAAAACTCGGTTGATTTATACATGGTTTAGTTGAAAATAAATATTATTTTTCTCTAAAGAAATGATTAAATATCACATCATTGTATAACATCAACTGTTCGACGTGTTTTCTTCAACTAAATAAAACTGACAAAATATTGTATATTTTCAACCGAACGATTGAATTAGGTATAGTAAAATATTTGTTGAAACAACTAGTAGGTTTGTCAACTTCAATTTTTAAATATAACAATAACTTTTGTATTATCTTCAAAAATGTTTTGTTGAATGAACAAAGCGCGATCCAAAATCAAATAAATGAATTATTTGTTAAAATTTCTAGGCTAAATAAAAACTCAGTTGATTCATATATGATTTAGTTAAAAATAAATATTATTTTTCTTTAATATAATCAAACGTAATTTTATCCTTATAAAAATTTAGTATCACCAAACGATTAGTATCACCAAAGTTTATTATTTAATGATACTATTTTTGTAAGTATAAAATTATGTTTGGTTATATTAAGCATGTTTGGTTATATTAACTAATATTTAGTTAAATCTATTTTTTGTCAACATTGTTACCTACAACAAATACTTTTTTTATGACAAGCTTATATAGTCGCTAGAAACAAACATCGCGAAATTTTACGTCTGCGTAAAACTGTTGGTAACAATGTTGACAAAAAATTTTATATACGCTAAAAAAACCGTGGTACCCTGGTAAAAATTTCATGCATTTTTTGAGCAGTTACTAAACAGTTACACCAACTTCTGTCTAGTAACTGAGAAGGAAAACTACTTAGGATCCCAATCAGGATGTAATGCTTTGTTCGCAGTTACTGCATACAAAAGTTACGTAAAATCTGAATACATTTACTGCATAGAAACACAACAAATAATGGATATTAAATTGATTAATAAGCAAGCTAACTGCTCATGAAATGGAAAAAATAAAACTCTATCAAGTTCTTGTCCATTTCCTACTCAGTATTGGCACAATTAATGAGAATACAGTAATATTAGATAGTAACTGAATAGGTGTCTAGGAAAACTACATACATTTCTACCAGAGTAATAGCTGCTCGATCAATTGTTTTGGTTAATGTAGTTCCTAGTCTCTAAGGCAAAATGAGTGACTCTCCGACCAGTGAAGGTAAGGTGAATGACTCCCCGGCCAGAGCCGGTTAAGTTGTTTTTACAATGATTTATGAAATTTTTTTCTTTTTTAATTTAATTATAAATATGGTTGAAAACGTCTTTTTGGCAGTTTTAGATTAAGATATCTCGAAATCTTGACGTGATAGAGCAATTCTGCAGCCGGATTCGGATTCAGCGCAAAAAATTACGTAGGAAAACATTGTTAAATTCCAATCAATAAAACCATGCAGGCCTGTGTTATAAGATAATTCAATGATAGAGTGGTATAATAATAAGCATATTTATATAAAGTTGATCAAATCTTTATTAAAACGGACGTAACTTTATCGTTAAATGGAGATTTTTATGAGCACTATGAAAATCTGCAAGCACTTTCAATCGTATAATATAAATGAATTAAATAGAATAATTTTAATATTTAACTGAATTATTATACAAAGTGACGGAAACTTAATAAATTGTAGGTAATAATAATTCCGGGATGAACTTGACTTTGTCTTTGAGTTAAGTAAATTTAATAAATTATCAAATAGAGAGAGAGAGAACAATGCAATACTTAATTAAATATTTCTATTGCATAAGACAAAGAATAAATTCACTGAGGAAAAATACAGTCAATTTTAATAAATGTTTAGTCCAATACTGCCTACATTCTTAGAGAAATCATTTTGTACGTACAACCAAAATTTTGTTAATATGTGACTAATAAAATGTTAAAAAAATTTGGATTGTACGTACAAAATGATTTCTCTGAGTGCAACTAAACATTTACTTACAGTAAATAAATATTTACTTAATAAAAAAAATTGTTAAATGAAGTGTAACACGAATAATATATCTCTAATAATATATCTCTAACCAAAATTGCCTCTTATTTGAATTTTGAATATATATATCTCTATATTTAATAAATAATTTAATTCGTAGTATTGAACTAAATATTTATTAAAACTGACCATATTTTTTTCTTAAATTGTGAGAATTATTCAGATTAGTATTTCAGAATTAATTAGTATTAAAGAATGAGTTGGATTGACAATGCGATTGCTTGAATCAATGATATAAATGTTTTTTTGACGGGACAAATAACAATCAGTTTTAAAACTGTTCAAACAGCGTGCGATTATAGCTCGGCGTTAGCGTGTTAGGTCTTAGGTTCGAATCCCGTCGATACCCCATATGCGTTTTCGAAAATTGTAAAATATCCGATACATAATTGTAATTCATAAATTGTTTGTAGAACTGTACTATTCTAAAATATAAGTCTATAAAATTAATAATAATAAATAAGGAC